GTCAAATGCTTTTCAGCGTTGGTTACACGTTACCTTATGATCAATCTGGGGTCATTTACAGCCTCTCACAAGTCCAAAATTTTCTTGGCGATGAGGAAGACTCCGCCCCCCTTCAAACCCCCCCAAACAGAAGGGGGCACATCCCCCTTCTGGCAACCCCCTGATGTATCTTTTGGTTGGGGGGCCGCGCCGAAAAAGAGGTCACTTTTTTTAACAACATTTCTCAAACAAAAACAAGTGTTTGGGGTCTAAATAAGGCATTTTTTCATCATTGAGACAACAAAAAGGTGGGGGTGAAAAAGGCGTTAAAAGGCGTGTATATGAAGTAATGGGTTAAGGGCATGACTGGTGATATGTCAAAGGTTCGAACTCGTCAGCAAAAGAGATAATATTATTATGAGATAGATGCTCTTCTATGCTAAATACTTACAGTTTTATTTTTCTTTGATTTATAATGAATACAAACAACATAATCATAATTTGAGTTTTATAAATCTTTTGTTAAATCTTGACAGAGCAAACTCACTTACATTTTTAAACATAATTTTTAGTATGTTTCATTTCAAAAACATTAAAAGGGCTATATAATAACTTTTATAAATCATACTGATAAGTAGATAATACATAGTCCATCACCTTAGTGCAGTATGGGGTTAAGTCATTCTAAATTAAATAGGAGTTAACCAGTTATTGCACTAAGGTGACATTACAGCGGAGGATAACAACACTTCACTTACTTCTACGAATGCACACCCAACAATGCTGTATATCAAGTATATTAAATTGTCTAAAATACAGGACCTTAGTTTGCTAAATAGTACTGCATGTACTCCAATTTGAATAAATTTATAGATTGAAAAAGATATGAGAATGACAGGAAGTTGTCATTATTGAACGCGTTCGGCTTCAAGTTCAAAATTCAAGATAAGCTTTTAATACAAAATATTGCATTTTTAAAATTACATTCAATAACACTGGAGTAAAAGAATTAATTATTATAGGCATTAAGAATGCTAAAGATTTTTTTAACCCCTAGTGGTGCTGTTCAAATGTTTATACATGTATATACATGTATGTAGTTGCTATAAATACCAGTCTATTAATAAAAATACTAGTAGGGAATATAGAACCCTAAAAGAGAATATGAGATCTACAATTGGCAAAATTAAACATTTCAATAATTTATAATTTCCTCAATATTTTATAATTTATAATGAAGCATAATGATTGTACATTAATTTTCATCAAAGCTCCACTCGTATTTAAGTTTATTATTTGTTTTTGTTTGAATGGTAGCATTTTTAAATTTAATAGTTGAATACATTTATAAAAGCAATTAAACGTTTTTCTTTTCTAGGCAATTTTGCATAATCAAAATGAATTGAAAATTTGTACGCTATACTACACAATTTACCGGTCTACTAGTGTTCCACAAATGGGACAAATGTCTTGTCAAAAAAAATCTCAGTTAAGTCCCTTTAAACTGATTATTCATTTGAGTATCGTAACTTATTCTGCTCATTTGCTATTAAACCAACATATTTCACTTCAATTTTGTTTGAGTTTAAATTTATGACAGTTTTGAATGTAAATAATCCAGTTACTTTGTGCACTTGAATATCCGTCTGCAATTAAACTTTTGACATCCGTCTTAACAAAAGAATCGATTTAATTGTCGGAACAAAGATCAGGATATCGTCACGTTAGTGTAATAACGGGTTAACTCCAATTAAATTATGTAAGAAGTTAACCAGTTACTGCACTAAGGTGTTTACAATATGTCCTCACACCACTTTATTCATTTCTTCCTAATTACATATTTCACCATTTTTAAATTGTTAACTTTACATGATTGAAATAGTAAAGTTAATTATTGCCACAAAAATACAACCAGACCCAAGTTTGCACACCTGATGCACGCAGTCTAAGATTCTCATAATGGGGTTGGTGGTGCTCTGAGGTAGCTTTTACCTTGGAAATATAAAGCAGAATACCACTTTGAATTCACTAGAGCACAGCTAGTCAGCAACCGCATTGTTTCTATGCAGGCTGTCAAACAGTTTACCGCAGTCCTTAGTTGCCTTCACTTTCCGAAAAAATGGGTCAAAGACAGAAAAGGCCGGGTTGCATTTGTACACCAAATATCATGAGGCTGTGATGTTACGAAAAAAAATTTCCATTGACCCATTAATGTCGAAAATTTAATTCAGTAGGTAAACAGGAAGTGGATAAGCTACACACCTAAAATCAAATCCCACAGTATGGGACCATGTGTCAATGCTGTATGCCAAATATCAAGAGGCTGTGATTAGTAGTTTCTGAGAAAAATGTTACGAAAATTTCCTACCATTGACCATTAATGTGAACAGGAAGTGGATGAGCTGCAGACTTGAAATCGAATCCCACAGTATGGGACCATGTGTCAATGCTGCATGCCAAATATTAAGAGGCTGTGATAAGTAGTTGCTGAGAAAACTGTTACGAAAATTTCCTACCATTGACCATTATTGTCGAAAAATCTAACTAATTTAACTAAGTGGATAAACAGGAAGTGGATGAGCGACAGACCTGAAATCAAATCCCACGGTATAAGACAATGTGTCAATGCTGTTTGCCAAATATCAAGAGACTGTGATAAGTAGTTGCTGAGAAAACTGTTACGAAAATTTCCTACCATTGACCATTAATGTCGAAAAATCTAACTAATTTAACTAAGTGGATAAACAGGAAGTGGATGAGCGACAGACCTGAAATCAAATCCCACAGTATGGGACCATGTGTCAATGTTGTATGCCAAATATCAAGAGGCTGTGATAAGTAGTTGCTGAGAAAACTGTTACGAAAATTTCCTACCATTGACCATTAATGTCGAAAAATCTAACTAATTTAACTAAGTGGATAAACAGGAAGTGGATGAGCGACAGACCTGAAATCAAATCCCACAGTATTGGACCATGTATCAATGCTGTATGCCAAATATCAAGAGGCTGTGATAAGTAGTTGCTGAGAAAACTGTTACGAAAATTTCCTACCCCTGTGAAATAGTGTTCTTGAAATCATGAACTTTTCAATACATTTAAGAACAGTTCATGAACTGGTCCTAAACAGTTCATAATGATTGTTCAAGAACTTATGTTCATGAACAGTTCTTCAAGCTTGTTCATGAACTGTTCATTGACATAAAAAGAACAAAACCGAATTCTTTAAAGGTTCATGAACTTAGGATCATGAATTATTGAAGAACTTTTGATGAAAACCATGGGTTCATGATTTGTCCTTTAATAATGTCACAAACTATTGAAGAACTTTTGATGAAAACCATGAGTTCATGATTTGTCCTTTAATAATTGCTGAAATAGAAATGATTACTGCTCAAGAACACTTGATGACCTAAATACATTGGTTAATGAATTTCTGAAGAACTTTTGATGAAGACCATGTGTTCATGATTTAATTGTTATTAAATAACTACAGAAATAGAATGATAACTGGTCAAGAAAAGATATAGACCTGGGTAGATTAGCACAGGCCCAAAACATTTTTTTGCATAAAATAAAGACATCAGTATTTTTTTTTATTGCTTGACCATGGAAATTCAATCAGTCACTTCTTTAATAAAATTCCCCATTTTTTACTCAACCAACTCATCTATCTATATATTGGATACTTATACTGACGTAGCAACACAAATTTTTTGGAAACTATGGTAGCTTTGTTTGAAATTCAAGTGCCTGTTGGGCTTAAAATAATACGGGAAAGTCAAAGACCGGGCCCGCGAAGCGGGTCCAGGCTTTGGCTTGCCCGGCTATAGACTACACGTGTATATTTAAAAGAAAATCAAATAAAAAAACATAAAAAATATACTGTATAGAATTCTATACCTATCAATGAAATTTTCAGTGTCAGTTCTAGTCGGGCGCCGCCATTTACAATGTTACTCAATGATAATAGGCGGGGTATTCCGATAACGGAACAAATCTCAACTTTTCGGATAAAAGATAATCGTCGAGTATTCCGAGTGAAAACGGAAGCGGTGCATGTAATACCGAATGACACCTTTAAAACCGAAAGAATGAAAGGAATTTTTAACGACTTCCCCGTTCATAGGCTTTGCCTAATTTCATATTAGGTTTGTGAAATAAAATTTGTAGGCCTCAATGTTTTAATTGAAATTATTCAGTCATTGTCATACATGCCATAACGTCCCGTGTCCGGGACAATCCCGGAAATAAGGTGTCTGTCCCGGAGATGATTTATGTCCCGGTAAAAAATCTAAAATAATCTACATTGAAGCAAGAAATTTTACTTTTTTATATAATTTTATTGTCAAGTTTTTGTAAACTTATCTAGAACGCTAATAAGGAACAATTATCCCCTAAGTGGCCTAACAGCTTTGCAATGGTGACACTTATCCTTTGATTGGTATATCAACGTGCCCCTTCCAAATAACAATTATCGGCAATAATTTTGATCAAATAAAAGATTAATTACCCCAGTGAAGGTGTCATACACTGGCCAACTGGCCATTATAAATTAAATTTTATTAGTGGTCAAACACCGTGAAAAAATACGCGCTAAATATGAGGTGATAAAATCTACAAGATTCAGTGAATGTTTCAGGTAAAGGACATGGCTCATTGTCATTACTTAACATATCTTCATTCTATTCTGTGTCTGATTGAATTAACGATGCCTAAGTACTTTAAAAAGATAGAAAAACTGTTAATAATTATTGACATTCTGACTTTGTTTATGGTGTCATTAAATTTGCAAGTTGTAATTACCGGTAATAGGGCCTATAGGCTGTATGCCACTATGTAAATTGAAAAAAAATACGTTTGCTGATCAATGCCCCACCTTCAAATGAAAAGTGTCTCGGAAATGAGTCTAAAAATTATGGCATGTATGGTCATTGTATTGACGGCAAAAACAACGGAATTACACGAAATTATGAGAATCGAGCACATGTTGCTGACGTAGTACACTGGTTTATTGCGTAGTACACAGATTTATTACGTAGTACACAGGATCTATTAAGCGCGCCAATATTCAATATTCAAAGACGGCAAAAACTTCGTCTCATATCTAATATCATCTCCCCAATAAAGACATACAACAAGAAAAGTGAAATTGCTCAAGCAAATTATCAGAAGAAGACCTTCAAAGCTGCAATCGGTGAAATTCACTGTGAGTATTATCATAAATGCACCCGTTGATTTTTTTTCAAACAGAGCCGGCGTGTTTATGACTCCTCCAAGAAAAAAATGAAGAGTCTATAATTATTTTAATGAACTTTCTTCACTTCTAAAAGCATTATTTTGTAACAATTTGCCGACTGTAACAATAGAAATAATAATTGTATTTCCAGCTCATTCCTAGTTACAGTTTAGATACTTCAACCTTACTGGAAATATTGCGTAAACGGACATTTGTCACATATTTTCGCGATCCGTTTTTATTTATTTCTTTATTGTTGAAACAGGATCAATATAAAATGAATAAAAAACAAAGCATCGTTGAAGATTGAACATGGTTCTGCTTCCCTGCAGGAACTTATTTGCTAATGCCTTATAAAATATAGAATCTAGTTTAAAATAGTTTTTTGAAAAAATGCATGGCAGCAAGTCTTTTTTTATCCCCAGACAGTTCAAACACCCTGGTATGCTGACAGTTGACTACCTTAGCCAATTTTCCTTATATCAGAAAAAAGTTTTCATAAAGAGACAATATTTTTATATCACCATTATTTATGTAGTTTTATAATGGAATATGATCAACAAGGAAAATAACACATGACTGACTGTATTTTTAAAGCAAATAAGATACATCCAAAATTTTTATTGGAACAGAAATCACGTTTTTCTGTTGTTGTTTTTTTTTTGTTGTTGTTGTTTTTTTTGGATGTGTTGGATTTAATCTCTCTATATATATAATATTATAGGTCCTGCTGACAGTGTCAAATGTGAAAGTGAATCGAAAATGCAGGAACTGCTGGGGGTTGTGTGGTTGAGGCTAGATCTGACGGGTAAGCAATATAGTTGAGGTTACAAGGACCCAATTTTACAATTGTCTACAGTAGAACCAGATATTTTTGCATGGCCTAGAATTTTAATTCAGTCTAATTTCACTAGTATTAAAATTCGCATAATTAGCATTTTCTACTTAAATATTAATGAAAAACTTATATACCCTGATATCGAGGTATAAAAATAGGTTTGAAGGGTACTATGGAAACGCATTTTTTCGTAACATTTGTGTGATGTTTAAAACTGTCATTTCAAACACAAGACGTTATATTGTTGTTTTTTTTGTTGTTATTTCCAAACTAGATGGGAGGATGAGTGCAGAAGCCTGCGTAGAAAGATTCGACGCATGGAGGAGCCAATTACTGCTTTAGAGAGTCAGAATACAAAAGTGGAGGACCCCGAATTATAAGCTGTGGAACATCTTAGTGATACTCAAGAAGTCTTGGTTACAATAGCAAAGACTATCTTCACTGTGGAGGAACTTAGAACCCACTCTAGGACTGGAAAGATGACCAATAAGTGTAAGGATTCCCCGAGACACCACTTGAACCCTCGAAACTCAGCAATCTTGAAAAGACTAGTGAGGAGGAAAACCGGTGTATCAAAAGAAGTATTTAATAAAAAACTAGAGACTTTGCAAAAGGTCATCAGAAGGAAATAAATCACAAAATAAGTGAAACATTGGAAACTGTTCTAATTTCAAGTTCTTGATTTTTGCACTTTTTTTGAAATCAGCAAGCTGTATTGAAGAAACTATTTCTTAGTTCTTGTTAAACAAAGATGTGTAGTTTTTAAATTTTACAAGCAGTTTTACATGTTTGTGGTTTACTTTTGAACAATATAACTTAGAGCTTATGTTGAGTACATATTGTTTAGACTTGTTAGTCCGCAAATTGATTGGTATCATCTGTCTGCTCTGTTCTTGCATTTTTCATGAATGTGAAATAATGTAAATGTAGTTTAGGAAACTGTTCATGAACTGTAGTTCTTGAACTGTTCTTGTACTTTTCGTGAAGATAAAATGGCACAATGAATTTGCACTGGAAAAAGTGCCAGAAAAGTTCATGTAGAGGTAAAATTCATGAACAGTTCATAATTTACTGTAAGTGAACAGTTCATGAGCATTTCATTGCATTTTGTTCAAGAACAGTTCATGAAATGTTCATGTTTTATTGAGTCATGAACTGATCAAGAACACGGGACAGTTCAAGAACTAGGTGTCCTCTGAACTTTTCAAGAATTTGTGCCATTTTGTCTTCATGTACATCCCAAGAACTATTCATGAATCTAGGTCATGAACTAGAATGAATACTTCATGAATTATTCATGAACTGTAAGCATTCATTTCACAGGGGTACCATTGACCATTAATGTCAAAAAATCTAACTAATTTAACTAAGTGGATAAACAGGAAGTGGATGAGCGACAGACCTGAAATCGAATCCCACAGTATGGGACCATGTGTCAATGCTGTATGCCAAATATCAAGAGGCTGTGATAAGTAGTTGCTGAGAAAACTGTTACGAAAATTTCCTACCATTGACCATTAATGTCAAAAAATCTAACTAATTTAACTAAGTGGATAAACAGGAAGTGGATGAGCGACAGACCTGAAATCGAATCCCACGGTATGGGACTATGTGTTAATGCTGTATACCAAATATCAAGAGGCTGTGATAAGTAGTTGTTGAGAAAACTGTTACGAAAATTTTTTCCCGCCCGCCCCGCCGCCCACCGCCCGCCGCCCGACATTCACCATACTTTAACCCGGGTTTGCACCTGTGCAACCCGGCCAAAAATTGATAACTTTTGTACGTACAGTGCAAATGACTATAATGTGGAAAGGATTTCATTTATGATCAATTACAACAAAAACCGGACTGCATCTTCTGGAAATTGAACCCAGGTCTCTGACTTCATAGTCCAACACTCTATCTACTGAAGTAACCAGACGGCTGTTATGATTATTAGACCTTTTATAACACAAAATTCAACAAAGTTAAACCATCTTAAAAGCCATCTCTTGATTTAGACCAAAGAAATAAAAGATCAACCTACATTATTCTATTTTCAATTTAAGGGCAGATAACTCATAACGAGAACGTTGACTCCAATTTTTTTTCGCTTAAAATGTTTCTGTTATCATATTTTAACAACATGTCAAGTTTAAAGAAATTCTATTGAACAGTTTTAATTTTGCCTATATGTCTATAAATATGAAAACTCCCGAAAACGTCTTTAATAAAAAATAAATATAAATGATATATTTTTATACAAATACACTGTTATACAAAATACCACAAAATTGGCTTATTTTTATAAAGAAATCTTAAGTAAGCACTAAAAGTACACTTATTAAATGGTGTCTTTTGGGTCTATCTAATGTATTAATTAGGATAAAAGCCATAAACTCAAAAATATCAAACACTTTTCATGGATAAATAAATTCTTACCTAACTGTTTTTCATAGCTGTAATTTATCTACTTTTTCGGTTTATTGAAACTTAACTAAATAGATAAGAGTGTTTACATATGTATATCCAATTTTGGCGTTCATGATTAAGTATGTAGTATATGAACGTTTTAAAATTACACCATTCAATATCATTACAGGGTGTTTTAAGCTATATACAAAATGTCATGCATCCTGCGCTTAGTAAAATATATAACATATTTAACAAAAATGTCATACTCATTAAGGCAATTAGCATGATTGTGCTTTCATTTCTCAAAGAATGTGTTATCTTTATAAAATTACTAACTTTCTTCAAATAAACAGTGTATGAAATTATTTAAAGTAAACACTATACTGTGAGTGAGCATAAAAAATTCCCTAATAAAATATATTCTGAAAATTACTTTTGTAAGTGGATATCTTAAAGCTTAAAGGCACATTATTGCCTCATAAATGAATAAATTTTACATTCTTTAGTAAGGGCAGACATGATTTTTTTAAAAATGTTAAAATTATAAGTTAAGTGCATTTTAGATGCATTTCACCCGAAGAAAGTAATGAATAAATAATGAAAGTAATGAATATGACATAAAAGTAGCAAAATCATGTAAACACAGTCTATGCATGTAAAATACTAAATCACCATATTTTTACTGCAACAAAAATAAAAGATCGTTCAGTTAATTGGTCAATGTCTATTTTTTTGAAACTATAATAATTTATTGGACACCTGATTAATAATAAAAGAATTTGAGAAATGAACATTTAAGTATTTCTGGGGCATTATAAATGGGCCTTTAATGTGCAGAACTTAACTTTTATCGTATATTGATGTCTTTTACTCACCCAGGGACTGGTGGGTCTTGTTAAGCTCGGGATGCTTAAATGAGTGGTAGGCTCATTTATTAGACATGTCGCTTTGGGACCTTTAGAGGTGCCAATTTGAGTCATAAAGGACAGTGTCTGCATGCATCATTCATTCACCCTATGAGTTTTTACATAATAATGGGTAACAAGAGTCTCAGGGAATTAACAAGAGAGCCTGAGGTCAGTAACATTTTAGAGAGCCTCGGGGGCAGTAACAAGAGAGTCTGAGGTCAGTAACAAGAGCCAGTAACAAGAGAGCCTCGGGGCAGTAACAAGAGAGCCTGAGGTCAGTAACAAGAGAGCCTCGGGGGCAGTAACAAGAGAGCCTGAGGTCAGTAACAAGAGAGCCTCGGGGGCAGTAACAAGAGAGCCTGAGGTCAGTAACAAGAGAGCCTCGAGGGCAGTAACAAGAGAGCCTCGGGGGCAGTAACAAGAGAGCCTGAGGGTGGTAACAAGACAGCCTCAAGGTGGTATATCTTATGGCATAAAGAAGGCTGTTGTAAAGGGGGGGGGGGGGAAAACATAACCCAGGAAAATTTATCAGTAGTTTTTATTGTCACATTCATTTCCTTTATTTTACTTTTTTTTCACTTATTGGGGAATGTTGGAAAACACATCACAAAAGGGGAAAAGGGGAAAATTTAGAGATCGATGAAACAAAAAGGGGTAAATTTAGAAAATCAATAAAACTGAGTGTATTTATGTTAAACTGTGATACAATACCATTATCTTGTCTTGTTGTAAAATGGATCTCAAAATGCATGGAATTAATTAAGACAATACATGTATAATTACATTTACCACTTCACAGTAAGCATAATGATATGCAATGATTAATGTCACATTATGTAAATATAAAATATATATATTTTATGTTAATGTAATGAAATTCGGATTATACCTGGTAAGATATAATCCAATATCAATCCATTATCAATAACATTTCCAGTTCATATTATTCAACTGCAAAAAAACACTTTTTATTTTCTTCCCATCAAATTTGCATGAAATCGAAAATAAAACATGTATGCTTTTGATAATCATTATGGTGAAAATAGACTCTTATAGGTAATCTAATGAGATATTTTGACATGACAGGACTGGTAATATTTCAAGGGGAGGAGGGGGGGTGGGATTGTGTACCATATTTGATATGGGTCTAAACCATTAACTTTTGTGCAAATTTTAAGACCATTAATTTTGTTCACCCTATCTTTCAAGAATAATCTTTTAAATTGTGCATAATGATAATAACTAACTAAAATCAATGAGTTTAATAATTGATTGCATTAAAAAAAAGAGACCATTTTGATATGATCATAAAAATAACAAGTTTCAATTTAATTTTGGATATATTTCTATACTATGTTTTAATTTTATGCAGTTGTCCCTGGGAACCAGTTGACCAATGTAAAAATGCTAATTTTTGTTTTTGTTTTGTTTTGCTTTCAGGCTTTTGGAAGTTCAGTGAAACTCATTTAAGATATGGTATTTAGTTTTAAATAGAAAGATAAAAAAAAACAAACATACATTAATTTTTATATATTGCACAAATGCTAATTAATCAATTCTCTAGATTTTCATATCATACCTTCAAGACTAGTCAATGCAAGTTGTCATGGATGGATCTACAGTCAAACCTGTGATAAAGATCACCTCTGAATTCAGATCTATTCCCAGGGCAAAAACAAACTTTTACTGTTAATTCAAGCTTCACGAAGCACTACCTTTCACAAAAGAGTGACCAAACGCATTATGCTTATTATCAATATGTTTACAACTTTGTTCCCCTGCAATGGGAAAACCCCTCGTTTACCGAGTTCCGAAGTATCTTTCTTTCACATACACATATGAGCCGTGTCATGACAAAACCAACATAATAGGTTTGCGACCAGCATGGATCCAGACCAGCCTGCGCATCAGCGCAGTCTGATCAGGATCCAATGCTGTTCGCTTACAGACCCTATTACAAGTAAGAAACTGATAGCGAACAGCATGGATCCTGATCAGACTGCGCGGATGCGCAGGCTGGTCTGGATCCATGCTGGTCGCAAACGCACTATGTTGGTTTTGTCGTGACACGGCTCATATCATGATGTTACACTTTGAACACTACAACCTCATTCATAAATTGATTACCCAGTCTACAAAGATATGTAGTTATCATAAGATTGGCTATCATTACAAAGATACTATTCATGACTCACCAGTTACTGTACTGATAAGTTTAACAT